AAATATTAAACATATTCCAGGCAATATGTAATGTAATGTAGGCTATTGCATATCGCATTGGTACAAATGTTGCAATAAACAACGTCCGAGTCAGCGGCAAACATCAGGATGACTAGCCGGGAAAGGCTGTTCCCGCCGGGGGACACGAGCGCGAGCGTCCGGTGATCGCTTGAAATGGATCTCAGTCAAATGATCAAAAATCTATAAATAAACCACAGATTTGAACTTTAAAAAACTACTTTCTCGCCTGAAAAACTCTTAAAACTACATTTCGTGACACAATAACAGTAGAATTATATTTCAACTGTATGCTTCTAAAGCCCTTGTAGCACGCGTGAGTGACGATACTCTGTCCACCAATCAGCGTTCTGCAGTGAGTCAAGCTCCACCTTTTAGTACCCTTTCACTGTGCTAGGTACCCTAACGAAAGGGTACCCAAAAAGTGGTACGGTACGGTTCGGCTTTTTGGTACCATTCACAACTTTTGACAGTGGAAACGCAAATAATTGCGTACCGAACCGAACTGTACCGTACCGTACCACTCAGTGGAAACGAGCCATAAATGATTACAGAAGTTTCATTTTTGAGTGAAAAGTTGCGTCACTACTCCTGCTACTCACATGGTCTTACTGAAGATTTCTAAACTCGACCTTACTCTCATGTACAAATGCACACACATACGCATGGGCTAGCATTGTTTGGAGCCATCACACTCCTTGCTTCAGCTCCATGATCCCTGCACTTCAGTAATGAAGGTATGACTCCACACTGAGCCCATACATCAGCAGAACAGAGGAGTACGTGAACCACGCATTAGCCTCTGTTCTGTCTGCCATCCGAGTTCCTCTGCTGTGTGTGTCCATTATTGTTCTATATTCCCTTTGAGAGGCATGGTGGGAGAGCACAGAATTCTGGGATAGCAGCAGTGAGCACAAAAGATGAGCTTTATCTATCTCCCTTATCTAATTATCATCTTGCTCTGTTTCACAGTGTGTGTACTGAGAGTCGGGTCCAAAACAGAGCTCGAGCAGCAAGCCATCTGTTATAGATTTTAGAGTTTTTGTTGTTGTTGTTGATTTAATAGTTTTTAAAGGCTTTGGGTAATCTAGATATTCACAGGATTTCTACCTTTTCTCAGCCATCCTTTTCAGGCCCAGGAGTCGGTGAAGCAGACGATTTTTTTTTTCTAAACATGTAGAAGAATTCAATGGCTATTCAGAGAAGCATCGTGTGTATAAATTCACTGATTGTACTACTAGACTAGATACTATTAGACTGCTCCTTTGAGACTTCAGATCACAAAACAACCAGTAAGTGTGAGGGAAAACCCTTTTCATTTTAACACAAATCCATTTTAAGCAGAATAGGCTCAATACACAAAGAGGTGAATTCAGCTGTGAAAACAGTTAAGCCACATTTGTACACAGTCGTTCAGTGGAATGAACTCTGCCTTATATACCAACCACGCACAATTCAGTTTACTGTAAGTGCCAGGTTAAACTGGATTGCAGATACAGCAGTTAATGAGTAGGGGCCATTGACACATTAGTGCGTTTTTGCCTTTCATTGTTTTTCTATGTAAACAAGCTAGACGAAAGCATTGTGCTTATGTGTCACAGCCTCTCGTGCACGGCACAAGCTGTGTCCCTATTCAGAGGCTAAATCCTTCAAAGGTTGCATTCTAAATGTCCTAAACGTTTTTCGTAGGGCTGGGTATATTGAGACAAATTTCACAATTCGATTCGATTTCGATTCACAAGCTTGCAATTCGATTCGATTTCGATTCGATTCGATTCAATATCGATTATTTTGGATATCAGTTACAATAAATGGCCATTTTTCTCAAGGGAATCAAATCTCTTCTTAACTAATGCTGTAAACTATGGTCTATATATATATAGTCTAGTTGTAGGCTACTAGGCTTCATTAGCCTAATATGAAGGTAATAATTAACTGTTTTGTAGCTATACAAACACTTAAATTACACTTTTATTTATTTTTATAATAAGAAGATTATATGAAATATAAACATTTAAATGGTGGCTGTCATAAAAACTTGCCAGATTTATTCAAATATGCATTAAATATTGAAGAACACTAACGAGTGTGGACTAACGAGTTTATGTGGAGTTTTCTAAGGTAAATATGACGATACATGACATTGATTACAAGCTGTTTAATTGACGTCCTTCCACGGTTGAAACGCAGATTGAGCGAATCAATGTGACATGATGCGGATTTAGATAAGTTGTACTCTATCTTTTAACACACTTTCAGATGCTCATTCATGTTTATTTCGCGCTGTAACGGTATTATTAACCCGGAAGAGAGATCAGCGCTGCTGCATCTCTGGAGCTGCGACAGAGCGATCTCACGCCACAGCGCCAAAACGGCAAAACGCAATTTATGTTTTTGAATTTCTAAAGAAAATGGACGCAATTTGAAAATTGAGACGTTAACAAAGGACAAAGATTATTGCGATTTGTTGGATGTGCACATCCGCGATACAATGTCTCATTCATACAAATGAAACAGGATGACTAATCGATTCTTGAGATTTAAGAATCGATATCGGTTTGTAAAAATGAGAATCGATTAATATCGAGAAATCGATATTTATTACCCAGCCCTAGTTTTTCGTATTCGTCATTCAGTTGCTTTGAATTGTCAAAACACCTCTCAGAATGCTTGCTACGGACGCGAAAAACGCAGAAAATCTAACCTGATCCGAATACTTTTATGATGGACGGAAGTTTGGTGACAGTGTAAATGTGATTGACACAATGTGAGGTCGTATTTATGTTTTTCCGTTCGAAAATTTCATTTTTAAACATAAATATTGGGTTTCAAATTAAAAATGTTGACATTAGTAAGATTCAATTTCATAGATAGTTTATACTCTTTATAAAAAATGAAGTGAAGCTTTTAAATGAAGTGAACAACTTTCGTGTTACCAGTCTGACTCTCTAATCATTAGGCCACAACTGCCTTGTGAACATACATGGATCAAGGTGAACATATCTAGGTTGTAATCCCTGTTTTGTTTTCTGTTTTTCTACTTTAATATAGCTTTCAAAAAAATTCCAGTACAAATATCACTGCACAGTTGCAAGGCGATAAGAGCAATCCTATGTAACTAACTGCGCTCAATTTAAAATAACTTTTGTTAAAAAATGCTAGCTAGACCATGAGTTTTTCCATTCAAATGACTTGGGAAAAAAAGGAAAAAAAAAAGAAAACAAATAAAAGAATGACATGTTTTTATATCACTGACACTTCTGTCATATACTTGTCACACCCTTGTCGTTCCAAACCTGTATGACTTTCTTATCACTGTAAAAAATAACCGTGATTTTAACGGTAAAATACTGTAAAAATGCTACAGTGCAAAACTGTTGATTGGTAAACAGAAAGTTTCCGTACTATACACGGTACATAACTGTCATATAATTTTGCAGTAAAATACCGTTAAATTTACAGTTTTTGAAAGTGAAAAAGAACAAATCATTGTATAATTTACAGTGAAAAAACGTAAATTGACATTCCCACAATTCACTTCACATTTTATGTATTTTTGTTAAAATAACTATGGTTCCTCATAGTTTCATTGTTTTATTTCTAATCAGTTATGTACATTTAATGTTGTTAAATTAATGTTTATTGAATTTCATGTGTGTTACCATGATGGTGCTTAATATTTGTGTGAATGACGTTGTGCAGCTTTTTTAAATAAGTATTGCTTTATACAAGTATTCACTTGTGATGAGCTGTGATTGCTCATGTAACTCTCATCACTGCTGTGATGATTGTTGGTTGTCAGTCTATTACAATGGTCTAAAACAGATATCAATACATCAATAAGTTGGTAAATCCACTTTTCATCAGAAAATAAAATACGGTTTATTACTGTAAATTTAAGTCTGTAAAACCACTAACGTTCCTATCGTATTTTTAACGGTAAAGTTCTGGCAACCACAGCTCCCGGTTTTTTACCGTAAAATTTACGGTTTATTTTTTACAGTGTATGGACTATTTAAACAAATATTTCAGTGTTTTTTGAAGCAAACCTATTTAAATCCAAAACTAGAATATAATATAGAATTCGAATATAGAAACTTCCAGTCATATGTTCAGGACAGTGGCCCTCTAGGACCGAGTTTAGACACCAATTAGTTAAGGTCATGCTGAAACCCTGGTAGCTTCTGAACCAACATTCCAGCTTCCCAGTTACACACGGCAGAAACACTCCAGTAATTACTCCACATGAACGCTAACTGTCCCAGAAACACAGATCCCCGCCCCTTGGCACTTCTCAGTGAAAACATGAAAGGATTTATGAGAGGATGGTGCGACTACATCCTTTCCTGCTGATGAAAACTTGATTTGCCAACTCTGGGGAGGGAAGCAGCCATACTCTTCTATGGCGGACAGCCGCCGTCAACTAACAAATCCAATTTCCACAGAAACATGATGCCAAGTGGAGCCCTCTGAGACACCGGTCACAGCGGACAACAACCTCCCTCTATTTCTCTTCTCATCTCTGGCATGCTCATCCGCCCGCATGAACAATTAGGCCCCGATTCTTTCCTTATTACTCACAGTGCCCAGACAAAGCACACGGTGCGATCATAATTAAAATCTATTTGGGAGCATATGTGTGAGTCCCAGAAGACAACCGGGTGAAAACAGGAAAAAATTAAGTGGTAAAAAAAAGAAAAGCGATAACAGCAACAACGTCAAACGTGAAAACGGGATCATTCCGGATGACAAAAAGAAATGGAGGAAAGTGTCATCAGATGTGTATGAGAGAGAGAGAGAGAGAGACGCCTGAGAGAGGAATTTGTCTGTCTTTAGGGGATAGAGATAAATTAAATGCTTATTTGCTTTCTTGTCTGCATTTATTTACCTGGAATGAGTCCAAAGAAAGACAAAATGGATCCAAACAAACCAAACAGAGTGAATAACATCAATAATATCTTATTAGAACTTTGGCGCCGCTTCCAAGAAAGAAAAGACATTCTCACAGGGTATTAACAGAAAAGCTTGTTATGCTCCAATTTTACAAAGCACTAAGGCTAGTGAGGAGATTACGCCAACGAATCGGGTCTGTTGATTTAGCCTGATTTCAAAACAGTGTCATGGGAGATCAGCTCTGATGAGCCACCTTCATCCACCCTCACGTGAGTAGCAAAGGTCTCCAGCAACAGATTGAGATCAAATCACGGGTCTGTTCGCAACTGCCCTGAAAACATAAATCCAAAAACCAAAGTGATGAGAGGTCTGTGTTTACAGGACAGCGACAGATTGCCAAAGATGCCGAGAAGATTAGGATGTTCATTTTTGATCGCTTGTTTAACATCTCTGCTTTTACAATATTGTTTGTGTGTGTGTGCGCGTTTTTTTTTTTTTTTGTTTGTTTGTTTTTTGGCTTACAGTGTTATCTGAAGGGTTTGTGTGCGTGTTTCCATAGTTCTTCATCTGATAGCAAGCGATAATCCTTTGTATCTCAGGGCTTCATCTTGGTACAGGAGGGGTTTGAAACAAAACAACAGAAAAATACATGAAATCAGATAAACCTCTTAACAAGATTTGAATATGCAATTACTGTTTGGGTTTATGATGACTGAAATAGATAGTGTAAGATGTCATGATGGTGTTCTGCTGATTCGGAAACAAAGAAAAGCCAAATTGGGCTAGAAAGGCATTTTCACATTTTACTTTAGGTTTGAAACCATATTAATGCACTTCATAAGCACTTAAATGGATACTTTACTCAAAAAAAAATAAATAAATAAATGATCATTTCATTCTCCCTCCTATTATTTTTCTTCCATGGAATAAAAAAGATATATTTTGAAGATGTCCCATGCAATTACAATGAACAAACAATGAAACACCATAAAAGTATGATGAAAAGGGGGGAGTTTTCTATATAATCAACTCTCCTTAGCAAGTTTGTGAGAGAAATACTGTCTGAATCATTCTTTTGAGTTGTATCAACTGATTCACAAAACCAACATGAATTATCAGACTGATTCATTTCTCAAGATCAATTAACTGATTCGATCTGGGCACAGTAACATCCATTGACTATTATAAGCAAATATTACCAAGACGTGTCTATTTCAAACCTAGTGAATGGTCTCAGAACATTTGAAATACTATGTTTTTTTTAAATATACCATATTTTTTATGGAATTTTTTAAGCTTAAAAGCCTTAGTTTGGGAAATAAATAACAGCAGTGTCTTCAGATTTCCTTTTTTCAACCAAAAAAAAAAAAATTAAAATAAATAAATAAAGTCATACGGGTTAGGAATGACATGAGGGAGAGTAAATGACTGAATTTTTCGTTTTTGGGTGAACTAATCTCTTAAGTGCTCTTGCTGTGGCTCGATTCCAAAAAAGGATTTAAGATCATTGTACCAGCAGGTAAACAAAAAGTGTCTCAATTCTTAAAGTTGTCAGTTCCTTTCCTGGGGTTAATTTTATGAATTAATTCCAACTTTGTTTAATAATAACATGATTACCACCCAAGTCATTTATTTGGTTAAAACAATAAAACAAAACCACTGCAAGGCTATCAGCGTGATAATACGGTGAGCTAAACTAAACAATGAACCAGCACTAAGAATAGTAGTTAATTACTTATGAGTCATTGTACTTGTTAATAATGAATCAAAGGGTGTTGGGGGAGTATGGTGAACATGCACTGACTTGTAAACACATTATTACTCACGGCTTGCCGGTGCTGGACCAGTGTTTTCAACATCGTCGAGAAGCACAGTACATTAGCCAGGAGCCAACTAACAAGTGTGTAACAGGTGCATCAAAGACCCAAGCATGTATTGATCTGTCTGTGTGGTGAACACAGCCATGCCACACTGAATGAAGAGTGTTTGTGTTGGATAATGCCCAGGTCCACACTGAATCTGGCCACTGAACCCTGCCTTAGAGTGCCTGTTATTCTCAAAGCTCTGCCCTGCATATGGCATTTTCTGAAATGCTTTGCCTAATACTATAATGTATCAAGCTAGCAATAAGTGTGAGGTATATTGTTCAGAATACTGCTAAATCAATGCAGAAAAAAAAAACGAAAAAGACTGCAAATGCCATTTTAAAATCACCTCATACAAGGCCCTAAAGAAATCTGCGCTTAGTCAATTTATGGCTTGCATCATGCTGAAGTACACTTAGCATTAAAGGTTTATAATAGACTGCTAGGTCCATCTCAGCCAAGATTTCTCAAGCAATGTGCCAGTTTCCATCGACAAACTTCAGACTATTGTTGTCCTCTCGGATGCCAAATAAAGAAATGTTTTCAAATGTCTTTCAAATATTGGTACTGTGCAAATGTAAAATACACATATTTATCAAAATTGAGACATTACCAAAAGCGGACCCTTGAGACTGGGGAATGCTTCGTTTTTTCTGCCTGTTGTTACATATTGTGCATGAACGAGCATCTGAGCTTTTTATACTTCATTGACCAAAAACTCACTTTATAGTTCTTCTCCTGACCTGCACATGACAGCACAACTGAAAAAAAAATTAAACTAAATTAAATTAAATTAAAAAAAGGGACAAACAATTTTTGTTATGCCTAACCTACATTAAATGTGAAAATAGATAGAAATAACACTATATGCTGGCTGATAAATTCAACTGTACACATTTTTAATGATACCAGTAATTGTTTCAACTTTGTCAGCCCTAAAATATTAAAACTAACAAGCAAAAATCAATTAAAGCCAAACTCAATTTAAAAGAGATATATTTATATAAAAAAATACTAAGTTAGTTAGTAGTAGTAAGTACAATGTCTTAAGTGGACCGTCGAGTGTAACCTTATCTTCACCATCTGACCTTGCATGCATGTCCATTGTTCTTGTTTCCACCTTTGTGTTCTGTTTGTTTTTACTCAACTAGCATTTTCCATCTTCTTCAACAACTTTGCTGCAATATCCAAACCAGTTTTGCCATCTAGTGGATTCGTAATCAAGAGACATGTGCGTGGTGAAATTGGGCTGAAAAGTGCATTGATCCTGTGTCCTGAAAATGTTAGGTTAGGTAGTGTAAAATGTGATTAGTGTTATTGTTAAAAGACAAACTTTGTTTGAACGTAACCATATTTAAAGGGATACTCCGCCGTTTTTTTATATATTAAACTATGTTATTCCATTAACTAAGACAAGTTGATACATCTGTCGTCTCCCAAGCACTTGCTGTGGTATCCCGCCATACAATATAGTTATCCATTTTACACGCTTAGAAAAGCCAGCCCGTTCTCATCCTTTAGCGTCACATAGAACGCTATGTGACAAAACGGCGCTATACTACGCACATGGCACCCTTTATCGTTAATATTCACGCGAACCCAAGGCGTCATAAATCCTGTAGCGTAATATGAGACTACCCTACCCTACACCTAAACCTAACCATCACAGCGTGTGTTATATTAACGATAACGGGTGCAATGTGCATAGGATAGCGCCGTTTTCTCATATAGCGTTCTATATGACGGTAAAGGATGAGAATGCGTTGGAAAAGCGCAACGTTTTATTTTGTGTCACAGTCCTAGGTCGAGATATGCTCGAGTAACTGTATTTAAATAGAGAAAACGTGGAGGTGTTTGGTCGCTTCTCTGCTTGGCCCATATTGAATGAAGTGGGCTAGTTAAGTGCGATCAAAGTGTCTTGCGCGCCAGAGCGATTGAGTGCACGCACTGAGATGAGAGAGGTATCAACTCATTTTAGTAAAGGGAATAACATAGTTTAATATGGAAAAAAAAAAGTGGTGGAGTATCCCTTTAACACCAAATGCTGCTTTGTGAATGTAGCCGATCTTGCCTGTGAAACTTGATATCAAATCAATCCAAATTCAATTAGAAATTTTCCCGGTTTCAGTGTTTTGAAATTTGAACAGCAATTGAAATCATTGTTACGCTAAGAGTCACAGCAGCATTAGCAATGTCAGCCAAATACTGTATCATGCAGAAGTGCCAGTCCACACAGAACAAAAATAGACAATCATGAGGCTCCTATCTACAACTAGGGCTTTATTTCATGCATTTATCTCTCTCTCTCTCTCTCTCTCTCTCTCTCTCTCTCCTTCTCTTGTTCTCAACAGTCTGTAACTGTGCTGTTTGTACTTGTTCAGCGGATTAAAGAAAGGGCTCCTCTGGAGAGATGCTCTTGTTTGAAATAACTCTTCTCTAAAACAGCAACGTTGTCAGTTAATGTGGGTTTGATGTGACAGGGGCGTCATGGGAGAGTGTTGACAGCGTTTCACTTCCTGCTTTCATTTTTTGGAGCAGACTTCCATCAAGTCACTCGCTCTGTGGCGCATTAATGCTCTTCTTTTTTTTTAATAAGCAGTTTCAACGCAAGGGCATCCAATGCATTCTCATCCTAGGGCGTCATCTAACTGACACTTTTGACCATGCGTCTAAATCCTTGAGGGTCAGTTAGATGACGCAGGTAGGTTTAGGTCTGGGGTAGGGTTAGGGTTAGACCACTAGGAGGCGGGTCTCATATTAACACTAAAGGGTGCCATGTGCGTCGGATGTTGAAAAGTGTCAGTTAGATAACGCCTTGGGATCATACCACAATCGACTTTGTGTAAATGGACCACCACCTCTTAACAGTGCAAGCATTTCACTCATATTTGCTAATAAAACTAGTCATGACAACTCTCTGAGTTTTTGGCATGGCAATGAGTATGAAAATGCTCATTTATAGGCTATACTTGGTCTTGGTGGAATAGATCTGCTACGCTGCTGCCGCTGTTGGTTATTGCTGCTACTGCAGAGCAAGTAAAGGACTTGCTAATGACAATACATACGTGACGTGCTGTGAGCAAGACATACTGTTGCTGTACAATATAGCATGAAACACCAGTAGCAAATCTAGACAGGTGGAGCTGGGGACGTTGGAGGGTTTCTTAAAGCATGCTGCACTTGCAGGGCAAATGGTAACTACTGTAAGTATTTGAAGATTGAGCACACAAGCTCATTGGCTGCTGATTCAGCAGGAACCAATTAGCTGTTCCCTATAGAGAATGATGTCATTCCAAGCAGGTTGAGTTAAGGACCTGTTAGCTTGCGCCATCTAAAGTTTCCTGTAAAAACAGGAATCGTGAAACAGCTATTATTTTTGAACTTCAAAAAGGTACGATTTCACTGAATAGAGCAGTTTACATCAATAAATACTGTTTACCGGTACTTTAAGCAAAAAAAAAAAAAAAAAAAATGCTAAATGGTTACCGTTAGTTGCATCATCTACTTACTATTACTATCACAAAAAGCAAGTCTGTGAATTCCCCAATTGTTCTGAACCATTTTTAAAACATGCAGGCCATATTTGCTTTGCTGCCTGACTCACAAAAACACTGTTTTTATGACAATACACGCATATATTATTCTTTGTTTATGCAACAAAACAGAAAAAAAATCAGATGTAAGCACACACATTGTTGTATAACAGCTGCTACTCTTTTTAAGGGATAAAGAAACAGTTGTTTCCTTGAATTTAATCATTTGGAAAATTAGCAATTATAGCAACAGCGCCCAGGACAACCCCTCATGTTTATAGTAAACAAATACAACATCCATCTGCATGTGGTGCTTATGTAATAAACCCCCTCATATGGCTGCACATCAAGTCTCTTCATGTACAACAATTATCCTAATTCTGCGTCCAGAAATCAATGTCTCTTTTCTTTATCAACCTGCAATTACTTCACAAGGAGAAGGAGTTTACAAAGATCACACTCTTTTCCAGAGTATCGAGCTCTGGTACACACCACCAGATGCCTGTAAGTGTGTGTGTATTTGTGTTGCCGCTTAGATGTGTTCAAACTTACTAAAAACATGTCTCATTGAAGCTGACCCGGAGTGCTGTGAAAACGTCTTACTCACTGCAGTGTGTGTGTGTCACAGTTTGTGATCACATCACAACGAATAACTAATTTGTTAGTCATACCGCATGCCCCCACGTGCACATGAACATCTGATCAGCCATTATTGACCCTAAGACTGTGTTATACTGTAGCTAACTTTCTGTGTACAAATGATCTCAGACCATTTGATCAGCTTTTGTTGGGATTTCAGTAGGGACAGGACACTCTCAGGAAAAGATAGCAAGGGAATGGATCAAGAAACATTGAGAGCCTCAATTTCAAGTCACACTCAAAATCTTGAGAGTCAGATCCATGGAAATGATACAGGTGTATCCCGGTGAGCCTAAACACTAGATTACTGTTTGAAACTATTATGTTTATTTACATTATAATGTGTGTATTTTAATTGTTATGTGCCTTTACAGTGTTTTTATATGTCTTATTGATGCACATACTCATGATATCCCGTATCCCGTACTCACATAAGCCATGACAGCGTCATATCGCGTTGTGGAAAACATCAGGCCAGCAACGTAGGGTTTATTTGTGAACGAGAGCTTGAATATGGGCCCAATTAAATGAATACCTCACCCTATAACACCAACAATATTCATCCGGAGCAAATTGAACGAGTGAGTAAAGGGACGCAGGTTTGTGTGTCAACCATAGACTGTAAAGGATGTCAACTCGCTTTTGGACAGATTAAAGACGGAGAACACATTGCTGTAATATACAACAACAACAACAAAAATGTTTTTAAACAACCTATGAAAACTTAACATATGCTGAAAATAGCAAGCTAACATTAACTATGAAAGCTGCTTCTCAGATTAAATAGCAAGAATGGTAATCAACTTAGCCTAGGCTACAAGACCGAGCACCAAAATCATATGGAT